CTATTGCCCATCAGTGCTGCCTATGATTGCTGCATATCTGTGCAGCATCATCAGTGCCTCCTCATTAATGCCCATCAGTGCTGTCTCTGTGCCACCTCCTCAGTGCAGCCTCATCCAGGGATGTTGAATTTATATCGCCTGACGCCCAGGTCATGTAGTTCTGGGCGCTGGGCAGCTCGTTTCTTTTTTTTTTTTTTTAACCTTAGCCTTGCTGCGGGCAAGCAGCAGGGCTCACCTGTCAAGGTGGAGGACTTTACTCGATGCAACCTCATCTTCTATATTTTACAAAGAAAATTGTAATTTATTGCTTTTTTTGTTCCCTAAAACTAACTTGTATTTTTTACTCAAATTTTGTGACGTAAAAAACAAACTACCACTATTTTATTCTCTAGGGTCTCTGCTTTCAGTAAATATATCCTGTTTGGGGGTTTTATGAAATCTTCAGGCCTTAAATGATTTTTTAAATGTGCAAACACGGCTCGGGCAGCGAATGGGACAAAGGATAAGCCCGACACTCCCCTTCCCTGACAAGCACCCAATCAGTGCTCATTACACTGAAAGGTCTCTCCCCTCCCTGCTAGTCCCCAGGTGTGGTGTTGGAGACAGGCAGGGAGGGGAGGAGTAGATAAACAGTGCAATGTTAAATTATTACACATTTAGGTCTCCATAAAGCCCTGTTTGTTTTTAAAAGCCCCAGACATTCTTAGTCACCTTGGATTTAAATACGGTTTTGGTTAAAATGTATTTATTTATTTTTTATTCTGATAAGTAGTTTGTCATGAGGGACAAGTAGATTGGGACAATGATTTAGCACCTGCTCATCAGCGCACATCGGTGTAGGAGAAAAGTTACTTGTTTGCAAAATTTTATAATAGAAGTGAAGAAAAACTTCTATACTGCAAAAAATAAAACACACCAAAAGAGAGCTCTATTTGTGTGAAAAAAGATATTTTCATATGATACAGTATTGCATGACCGCGCAATTGTCATTCAAAAGCTGAAAATTGGCCTTGGCACGAAGGGGGTAAAAGTGCCCAGTAGTGATTAAAGAAAAGTATGTTTTAAAATAAATTTAAAAAAATGTGCAATTGTGTAAGAGGGGGCAGATGAGAGAGAATTAATTTAATTGTTTTAAAATCGAACGTTGATATGCTTTCATTTGTTCGCCCCTTAAAGTCTATAACTCCAGTTAACACGTTTAAAATAGTTCCGTCAAATACTAACTATAGTAAACCTGCTCCCTCCCCTGTTCTAAGCCTATGCTAACTATGGTGTAAAAGAAAGGTCTATACCTACCTATTCTGAGGGCGCTCTGGTCAGAGCGGACACTGACAGACTTTTCTGCTCTATGGGCAGCTGGGAGTAAATGGAAGAGGAGGATTTCCTGTGTGAAACAGGCCTTATGTAGCCAGAATTCGTTTGACAGAAAACAGTTAGCTGGCAGGTCATATTCTTTTCTTCACTAACAGACTGCTTATACATAACAAAAAAAAAAAAAAAAATCAGGAAATGATTTCATATTAAAATGATCTTCATTCCTAAGCATGTGCACATTTTTCTATTACTAGTTTAGTCTAGCTAAATTTAAATTGATCTTTGCAGGTTTTATCCATCAGTAGTCTTACACTGCAGCAATAGCTCTACTTGTCAGCAATATGTAATGTTTTTTTTTTCCTGCAGGGCTGTGCAAATAAAAGGAAACATGGACGAAATGTATTCTGTAACATTTTTGGATAGCATGCTTTTTTTTTTTTTTTTTTTTTTTTTTTTTTTTTTAAGTGTTTTAATCGGAAGGATTAGAGATCAGAACCCAGAGTAGATTTGAGCAAAATAAATCCCTAATTATAAATTGTATTTATTCAGATGAGTTATTGTGGCATAAACATTTTTCAGTTGATAAATTGATTAAAGCTCTTTTCTTAAATTCTCCCAACTGCATCATTTTAATTTATAGAGAGACTTTTTTTTTTATTTGGTGCAGATCAGCAGATGTCACTGTTAGCTACAGACAAGCTGCGGCAGTGAGAAGATTGCAACCTTTCCTAGTAGTTAAATAGCTTATACAGAAGGATTTAGGTATCACCTGATCAGCTATTGGCAGTATACTGTAATATGTGTTTTTGTGAGCGTAGTTGGGTCATCTTAAAGGAGAACAAAATTTTAGGTTTGCTTCTACAATTGCAACTGAATTGCATTATAGATCTGTATTGATGGCATTGGATCAGGCTTGTACAATTGAGGACTTTTTTTTTTTCCTTCTTCATTCAGCTGGGCAGTAATGGATAGTACTTTGTATTGCTAAGTGGTTTGCAGCATATTTAAAATTTGTCATAATCTTTACAGAAGTTGAACACAGAATGCAGCCTTTTTGCAGTTTGCATCAATATTCATGAGCATGCATCCTATAAATAGGGACTTGTTTTTGACACCACTGCAAAGGAAGTTAGGCATGCCTGTGTTATTTCCAATAGAACGGCACGCATATCTTAGTGTAAGAAGAAAGTATCCTTTTACACTGGTGGTGCTGTGTGTCCCTTTAGCTATGACTGCCTGGCCTGTCTGATGGCTGCATTTAAAGGGATCTTTTGGTTGTGCCATGCTAATTGCATTTAGTAATTAGAGTCTAGGGGATTTGTAAGTCCTTTCACCGAAACATGGATGTGGCCAGTGCTACTTCTCATTCTGCAAATACTGGCTGTCATGTTTATCTTCCCTGCTTTCAATACTTTGTGTTTTTTACCTGGACCAAGCATTAAATGCTTGACTTTATATTCTCACTTTGCAAGTATGCATACTTGTTCATGTCAGTGATTAAACCCTACTGAGTCCAGTTGTGTCAGTGCACTGGCCAGGAGGTGGCTAGCCTGTTCAGAAGGGGAGTGACAAAGGCCACCACAATGTGTTTTGGGAATGGTTTATTTTAAAGCTGAACTCCAGGATTTACGAATTCCATGTAAATACAAGAGGCATGTGTATTCCTCAGTCTTGGTGTGCTTATTTCATTCAGATCTGTGCAGTATTCCATTGTGAGACTTTACCTCTGTGCAGAGCTTCTGTAGTAAAGACCGGTCACTGCTGATCTCTCTCCTGGTTTGGGGTGGCTGGTCTTGTCTCCACCCCCTCTTGTAGTTTTCTACAGGCAGCCTGTAGTGGGTGGAACATTCTGGGTCCCTCCCACACTTGTACAGCACAGTGATGTCACTACTACGTTTTTACATAGTAATAACTGGATTTGCAAAGGCATTTGGTGCACACACAGTGGATATATATCCTTTGTGGCTATAGAGGAATATTTTTAAATATGTTTAGTGCTTTGAGTTGGTCTTAGGATGTTGATCAGTTAGGGAATAAAGTGTGAGCAGTCTGCTTCATTGGTCCCTGGGAAAATATAGGGTATGTTGCATTAATTTTTGAAGAGAATAAGGTTGTCAGATCCATGTTCCAGGTAGGGGTGGTTTCGAACACAACATGGAGTGATTTACAAAATTAACAGAGACTGCTTACTTTGTGAATGTTAGTAACTTGGGTGAAGCTGTGTTCGCTTCCACAGCCCGTGTTTTGCTAATGAGGTTTCATGGTTTTTGCTTAGTTCACTTGCGTATAATTTGGGCATTCAAAATGAACCCAGGTTCACCTTATTTATGAACTTTCACTTTGCGAAGTAATCCTCCTCTGCTCTTACAGTGCCTATTTGTGCCTTTCAGTAATGAATATTGCATGTGTTTTTTGCTCAGCAGTGCTATTCATTGTGAATGGCACCAAAACACATGTCCTCTGCAACAAAGTACAATGCAGAGTGTCTTGTGCGTCACGCTGTGATAACATTCAGTTGTTAACCTCTTCCTTTTTTTTTTTTTCTTTTTTTTTTTAATGGGCTGTTTAATGCACCACAATGCACATAGGCATGCACAGCTTTCTTTGTAGCACACAGCTTTGTGGTTTAAATGGGCCCTTGGTAAACCAACTCCTGTGTGTCTGCCTAATTCTATAATGCAGTAGACACTGAGCAAACTCAATACTACTGTCATAAAAATGCTAACAAAATTGTTCAAAAACCTATCTCCTAGTTGTCCTGGGATGAGAGGTGTATGTACTACAAATACTGTTTTGAAATGCTTATTTGCGTTGCAGATAATATTGCAACTGTTGTACTGCAAAGTATTGGAATCAGCTGGCACAGTTTGCACAGTGAAGGTTTGCAGTCACTCAGCTCGTAAGCTAGTTTGTGTTATTGAGTCAAACACAACTGGATTTGCTGTCAATTAAAAATGTTCTGTGATAGTTTCCTACTTGTTAGGACAGCAGTAACTGAAAACAGTTGGGGCTCACATCCTTTGTTGTAGTCTTCTGTTGCATTTAAGCCTGGTTCACACTACATGCAGGCTGGTTACGAGTGCAGGAATTGTACCTGTTCCCGCCCCCACCAGCATTGCATTTCTCTTGCAAGACACACAGGGTTGTCATTCATTCTGAGGGGGTTCTATTTTGAATGGCACTTCCACGCATCTCATCCCGCAGCAGAATCGCGGGTGAGAGAACCACATGGTCAAAAAGACCATGTGGTTTCCCTGTGGATCTGTTTTGGAAAAGCTGCATGCACCTTTTTCCTTGTGTGAAATGCAGGCACAGCAGCCCATTGGGCTGAATGGACTGCCATGCCTGCGCAAATGCGGGCTGCACTGGCACACTAGTTTAAACCGGGCCTTAGAAGTAGTGCTGGTTCTAGGATTAGCACATCATTTTGCAGTATAAAGAGGTGTATTTATGCCAGAACTAGCACCCCTTCCAGGAGCTGGCAACATCTGCTGTGACATAAAACATCCCATATGCACCAATCTCCATAATGCCTTTAATTTTTTTTAGGGATTTCAATAAAGGGTGAGTACTGCAGTCTGGCTACCTAAATCGTCCCAATGCTGGTTTTTATATTCGCTCTCCCCCAATGCTTCTTTTTATAATCTTCATGTGTTTCATCTGGATTTCTCCTTTTCCTTTTTTAGTGATTCTCCTTTGCCTGTAACATCTCGTGTCTGTTTTGTAAAGTTCCATGATCCAGAGTCTGCGGTGGTGGCCCAGCACCTGACTAACACAGTGTTCGTGGACCGAGCATTAATAGTGGTTCCGTACGCGGAAGGTTTGTACATTACCTGGTTATTCACATCTTTTGAGGGAGATGGGGTGGGGGTGTCTGTTTCGGGTTCTAAAAGTGCACAGTCTGCATGCTTGTCGTTTTTGTTTAAAGATCTCTGGTATACACTGATTCTTTTTCTTCAAAAATATCCTGAGGCTGTTCTGCCAGTTCCTAGTCTTCCAACGCCTACATCCTGTTTTTCCAATTTACTATACTGTATTTATAGATCATGAGCAATTTGTGTTGCGCTCTTTTAATAAAAGGAGACAGTACAGTTACAATACAAGAGGAAGGTTAGCGGGCCCTGCTCTGGAGAGCTTACAATCTCATTAGTTGCATCAATATGGTGTCTTACTGTGCTTTACAATGACATCAAATAACTGTCTCCCCTTTTTGGAAAGTATTGTCATTGCTTATCTTTGTAGCATAGTCACAACTTTCTAAGTTGTATTTATAACTGGCACATTGGCTCCCAGAATGTCAGGTATACCACAGATCAGTCTTGGTGTCCTGTAAGTCAGTAACTTACAGAGGTGCTGAATGGGTGCAGGGTGTAAAATTTTCCTCTCTCCCTTTTTGAAGTTTGCATCCTTCAATACCTCACAGTATTTGCCGAATAATGAACTCTTTTCTCTGTTATTTGTGTGTGTGATTTTTGTAGTGGAGAAGGCATTTGCAAAGCCCTTCCTGATGGCAGAAAAAAAGTGGGTCCTCTTCTGCTTCAGGGGATGCTAGACATTAACTAGACGCCAGCAAGCACTCGCGTGTTGTACATGCTGTAACTACATGCTAACAATGTCTCCTTTTTTTTTTTTTTTTTTTTTTTCTTTCTTTTTTAAAATGGCTTAAATCTCTGTATATCTAGGATTGTTAGTTGGTTATAAGATGGCAGGTGTGGGGTTTTGTATCTGAGAACAAATGCAGGATAAATGATTTAAAGGATAAATGGGCAACTTATGTCTAATACAGCAACTCCTTATGGATTTTTATCTGCTGGGTGGATCTGGACAAGGTTCAATTGCCTGTTCATTGCTGACCAAGATCCCAGTGGAGGGTTCTTCCCTCTCTCCTATAACTGTAACAGATTAGGGTTTGTCACTACATTAATTTACTCTTCAGGATGCTGAACACAACAGTACAGTATCACGTGACCCCTAATGTCTTTACAAAAAGACAGAAAGGTGGTAATACTGGTAGACTGGTTTTAAAAAGAAACCTTATCAGCAACTTAATAAATTTTAGGTAAAAACAGTAATTCAATTTTCAAATGCATAGCTGCCGTTTTTTTTTTTGTTTGTTTGTTTTTTTTTTTTTCCCCCCCACTCGCAATAAGCTTTTGAACTTGCTAGAAAATCTGACCACTCCAGAAAGAGTTAATTCCCTAGCATAGCTCCCCTCCCTCTTCATAGTTCATAGCCCTCTCCTTTTCTGGGAGTGTCTACTTACCTTTGCCCCTCCTCTCACCTACCTGGTTATTCTTATGAAGCAGCCAGGGAAGGAGCAAAGGGAAATACTCTAGACTTTCAATGGAGTGACATCTTTGAGTCTGCTTGGATACTGGATTTTGACGCCCAGTAGCAGTCTCCAGCCTTTTGAAGATCTACAGAAGGGAGGTTTATACAAGTAAATGACATGCATAAAATACCTTTAAATGCTCATAAAGTTTTAAATGGATAGTCTGGCGACAGGGCCCCTTAATTTACTGTTCAGGATGATGGAGATATCATGTGATCACTGATGTAGCCTTTGTAAGGAAAAAAGGCTTCATTCACTCTTGTGCGACTTCAAAATCATTTGATTTTCATTGTGATATTACAGTAACTTTGGATGAGTTTGACTTTGACCAAGGATGATTGTGCTGTACAAAGTCGCAAATAACTCACGTGTATATCATTCAGGTGTGACTTTCGGAGGCTTTACAGTGAAGTCTGTGGCCCTCAAGTAGCATGAAAGTCAGACCAAACTAGTGCAGGAACTACTTTCAAGTTGCTGCTACTTGAAGTCACACCGATATGAATGGTACTCATTTGGAAACATGGGGTCACACCAGTGTGAATGTGCTCTAATACTGGCAGACCAAATTTAAAGCCAGTCTTAACCTCTCACAGTTCTGCTAGGATAAGGGTGTAGATCGCTGCAGCTAGATCCTGGACAACCGTGGTGATCATGGGGGTGGTTAAATCCTACTCCCCACCACCCATATTGGACATCACCATTATGTTTGGAGTTGCATTGCAAATACCCAATAGTAGCTATCGTAACACGATGGATCTTGTATTACAGCCTTAGTTAGTCTTTCAATGACTTCATTATGTGGGAAGTAAAATACAATACCTTGTTGAGTCTTACCCGGGGTCACCAAGTTTCACAAAAATGTTTAAGAATGACTGTCTTTAAGCTGCTGAGTTCCTAAAAAGAATTGCGTTGCAGAAGTTTCCCCTTTAGTGGATGGTGTTTTCAGGCAGCACAACTGTTCACAAATGTCAGGTTTACTATTCCCTAGTAAGATCAGCCCTCTACTCTTGTCATAGAGCATTAGATTTTCTCCTTTATTCATCACTCATGAGATTCCCTGAAATATATAAAGGCCCCCTTGAGTTTGTTGCCATTTTAAGAGGCTTAAAATGTATCTAAACCTAAAATGTTTAACATTGGCTCGCTGTGTGTGTCTGTGTACGTACGTACGTACTCTTGCAAAGTTTCTTACTTTTAGATCAGGGTTTCTCAACCAGGGTTCCTCCAGAGGTTACAAGGGGTTCTTTGAGCAATTTCTGCCTCTTAGATAAATTTCCATTGACACAGTTGATCTTTTTAGCTATCGGAAAGGGGATAATTCTTCCCAATGACCACAAGTGTAAGCAGCGTTCTTCCCACTGACCATCACACTAATGTATCAGGCATTGTAGATATAGTCATTTTTATCAGGGGTTTCCTGAGACCGAAAAGGCATTTCAAGGGTTCCTCTGTGTTGTTGAGAGGCTGCTTTAGATCCTGTTGGTAACAGCTTCTTATTTATTACTACAGATACTTCTATAGAGTTGTCTATTTATGTAAAGCAGCTATTCATTCACATCATTCCCTGCTCTTGTGGAACTTGCAGTATAATGTAAGGTCCCACATGCACACATTCTAGAGCCAATTTAGTCATGAGAATGTATTTGGCGTGTCAAAGGAAGCACAGAGAGAATCTGCAAACTCCATGTAGATGGTTTCCTTGCTGGAACAGAGAGCCCTAGTAAGTAAGTAAGTCCTCTACGGAACTGTGCTGCCAGCTCTACTGGTAGTCCTGCTTTAACCCCTTCCTGCCCGGCCTATTGTAGTATAACAGCCGGACGGGAGCCCTATTATCCTGGGAGGATGTCACATGATCCTCCCAGGATCGCAGCTTGTGCACCCCACAGGTCGTGCTCCAGCGCGATCGGTCACCTGTGTCACCGGACACAGCTGGTGACAGATCACTGTATCAGCCCATTGTTTATACCATGTGATCACTGTGGCCAGTCACAGCAGATCACATGACAACTGTACACGGCGAAAGGCTTTGATTCATGCCTTTCATTGTGTACTATTGTGATGAGCTCTGTGATTGGTCACAGTGATCACATGTACAGACAGGGCCAAGTGCAGCCCATCTGTACCATGTGATTTAGCTGTGGTCAATCACAGCTGATCACAATAGTAAATGCAATGAATGGTTTTCATTTAGAAAAAGGTTGCTTATAACTGTAAAATTCAGTATAATAAGCAATCTGTGTTAAAAGAAAAACATTTAAAAAAGGAAAACAAATGTAATAAAGAAAATATTTGAAAAATTACTTTTTTTTGTGTTTTTACATACTGTCACCAGTGTCCCTTATCTCTCCCCACTAGTTTTTATGATTATGCTGTACTGCACTGGTGACCGTATGTTAAAAAAAAAAACATTGTGAAAAAAACATTGTAGCATATAACATTTTGCAAATAAATTGTTCTTCAGAAAATTTAGGCCAAAATGTATTAACAGATGCACATAAAAGTTGTTGTTTTTTTTTTAACAAACCCTTTAGGTATTTTTTGTTTATCAAAATGTTTAAATACCAAAAGAAAGCTCTATTTGTGTGAAAAAAAGATAGAAATTTCATATGGTTACAGTGTTTGTATGACCACGGAACTGTCATTCAAAGTGCGACAGTGCTGAAAATTATCCTGGGCCAGAAAGGGGGTGAAAGTGTCTGGTATTAAGTGGTTGAAGGCAGTATTTGGTTGCAACCTTGTCACCCAGCCAGACATGCTCCCTTAGTTGCCAGTTAGGCAGCCAATGGCCAACTGAAGGAGTGCATGTGACAGACTGACAACACTAATGCTAATTGCAAGGTATTGGTTAAGCAATGTCAGCCTGCACAGGAAGTGCTGTACTGACAGGATCTCCAGGTAATAAAACTTTGCAAGAGGTTCCCAAAACAAACCATATACTAAGAAATCTGTGTACAGTGAGGCATGATGCTAAACATATTAAAACCTTACTGATTTTGGGTTTATATACACTTTTTTTTTTTTTTTTTTTTTTTTTTTTTTTTTTAAATGGGCCTTTTCAGCTAGCTGCCCCATAAACTCTTGCTGGGACCAGGGATTTCTCCATCATAACCTTTTGGTTTTACATATATCAGGGAGCCTGACACATAAGAAACTTTGTCTTCAGGATAAGCCAGTTGCAGTTTAGAGTTGGTCATTCAGTAAGAAGTGGGAGAAAATGCCTTTCTGCGTGTAGATGAACATAGCATCACATAAAGGGAATTGGTATGAGATTCAGGCCTCACAATTGGGTTGCAAGTATATACTCTTGCTCTTGTACAATTAAACCCCTACCTACCTAATGGCTTTTAGTGCATTTATGCTTGTTTCAAAGACATTGAGCTGCAGCACCAAAATAGATTTGTAAGCCGTGATAACTTTTACGTTTTATACATAGTTCATGTATTTTTTTAATGTCAAAAGCTGTATAGATATTTTTTTGGGGGGGGGGT